ATCTTCATCGACCACAATATTTTTTTCCTTTATCTTTATTTGATTGGCCTCTTTTTGGTGACAAGGATAGTACTCTAACATTTTTGAAGCGAACTTCAACTACCTCATCTAAGTCAAAGCTTTCTTGTAGCTTCTTTCCCCCTATTTGTGACTCACTCTTTTTTTTTCGAGAAAACACAAATACTTTGAGCTATCATCTGATTGTATGGCCACCAGATAGGGCTCTTACATCATATATGTTTGAGAAGCAGTTTCAAAAATGTACGATGTTACTAATATGACTCGACAAGTTTCCACAATAAGTTTTTTTTTCTTCCTTTGAATTAATAATTTGGAGTCCTTGCATGAACTCCGCAAGCCTGACAAACTTTCTTGCGAGATGATGATATTCCTTCAAATTTTTAATAATCTTTTCCATCGTAATCTTCTTTTTGGTTTTCTTCCCTTTGGTTGCTTTCTTGGATTTCTTTAATGAAACCTGTGTAGACCTCAATCTTATGTCAAGATGAGCTAGCATGGTTTGGCTACTTTTGGGTTGACGAAGAGGATGAAATGCCCACTATATGTTTTCTTCTTAACTCGAACTCCGGTTCTAGAGAAGATTTCCACTTCATATTAGTGACTTTTTTTAGCTGCTTTAACATCTTCACAGTTTTCTTTGAGACCACAGTCTCCCATCCCTCATCCTGATTTGACTCCTCTTTTATATTTTCTTCAACTAATGGCTCAGAAGAGAACGTAATCATCTTTGTTGACTCTCATCTTGGATGAATCAGAACATTGTCAAACAGTGTAAACTGCTCATTTTTATATTTTCTCCCAAGCCAATCTTTCAAAACACAACAGTCTTCAATAGGGTGGCTAATTACCCGATGATATGGGCCGTAATTTGGATCGCTGGTTTGACTTGATTCTTCAAGCCTTTTGCATTCTCCAGAGCGAGATCAACAAACATGATCGTGTTGTTGTTACGAGATCTAGATATACCAGTTGATGTGGTATATATATAAATTAAGCAGGATAACGATCGATGAAGTGAAAAATAGAACGAGAAAAATTATACCAGAAAAGAACAACACAGCGGAATACATAGATTTATGTGATTCGACAAATTGCCTACGTCTACGGAGTTGCAGAGGATTTTACTATTTTACTAATTTACACCAGTCGATCAACTCGACTTACAAGAGGAATCTCTCACTCTCACTTTAAGAGGAATCTCTCACTCTCACTTCTCACTTTGTTGCTCTCTATTCTTCTCTCTTTTACTCTCTCTACACCGAGATACACTGAAGAAACCCTACACCGAGTACACCGAAGAAGATAAACTTACAAGAGAAATAAACTAAATTTCTCTTCTGCCACCCTCCTGCCCCCAGCCACCAAGAAGAAGCCTAGAAAGAATAATCTTCTTCTTTCTTCTTCCTTCTGCTGCAAGGAACTGTTCTTCCTTGCACTTCTCTTCCTCTGCTCCAAGGAAACCTTTCTCTATCCCGAGGAAACCGAAGAAGAACTCAAAGCATGACTACAAAACCCAAGGAGAGTCATTCAACGTTTTTATCACGAACATGAGGGAGCGAAGAGATGTTTCACTGCACAAAAGAGGAATGTGGGAGGGGTTATTTGTGAAGAGGTGTGACTCTCCAAAGCAAAGTAACCGCTCAAGCAAGAGAACCGGGCTCACTGTTTCTAAAAACTCTCCCATTTGGAGACCAATACACAAGCTGCAATATCTCCTTCCTCAAACTGATATCCTCCACTAACGGTGTCGCCTTTTTCTTCAACATGTATCCTCCACCATAAATCCTCAAACTTGAATTTTCCACCTAAAATCCTCTACCTCTGCAACTCAAAGCTCTGTCTTCAATCCAGAAGACCAACTGAAGTTGTGTACAACTTAAGTTTCTCAAGAGTAACACCCTCAGTTATCATATCAGCAGGCTCCACATAGCTTTGCACCTCAAAACTATTTCCCGGGTCACTATTATCTCTTCTTACAACTCTCACTACATGGGCAATATCCTGTCTTTTTCAACAAGTCTAGCATTGTACCTCTTACTGACATCACACTCAGTCTTCACTTAGTACACCCACTTGTTGTGCAATATCTTCTTCCCTGGTGGAAGTTCTGTCAGCTCCTAGTTGCTCGAACTTTCATCTTGCAAGATTTCTTTATAGCTCTATGGTTCCTCAACATTTGTCTGTGGAACATTAGGAATGTGTGCCCCGGACCCACTCACTTCTTTACTTCCATCACTGTCCTGCACTGTGGCCTCTGGGAGATTTCCTACCACATTCAAAGCCCCTGAATCCAATATCAAGTCTTCAACAGAACTATGAAATGCCAACAATAGTGCATCATGTGATTCTTCAAATACCACATTTGCGCTATCATTCTCCATCTTCTTAGGATTTCTGCAGTTCTTCTTTATGTGGTCAGCTTTGCCACAATTCCAACAGATTGTCTGCTTTCTAAAATTTAATTTTGATCTCCCTATACTTGAGTTCATGTCATGCCATCTCCCTCTGAAATCAACATTCAGTGTCAAACTCGAACCTAAGACCTCCCCAGAATCTTTCCTGTGAACTTCCTCAGCTTTAGATTTACCTGCAAAACTGCTAACTGCTATCCTCATGACTTCCCAATTATCTGACAATGAAGCCAACAAGATCAGTGCACATATCTCATCATCGAAATCAATTTCCACAGACGACAATTGATTTGTGATACTATTAAAAACATTCAGGTGTTGAGCAACAGAAACACCTTCCACCATCTTCAAATTGAATAACTTTTTCATCAAGTGCACATTATTATTCGCCGATGGCTTTTCATACATACCTGATAAGGCTGTCATGAGATCTGCAGTCTCCCTTTCTTTGATGACGATGTGTGCAACGGACATCACTTGATAGGGTCAATCGAATAACCCCCAGAACCTGCCGATCCAATAGATTCCATTCAGTCGCATCCATCCTTTTAGATCTTTTCCCCAATAACGGAAGATGAAGTTTATTCTCATAAAGATAATCCTCTATCTGCTTCCTATAATAACCAAAATCTGTGTCATCAAGTTTCTCAATCCCTGAAACCTTCACTTCATCTGCAGCCATCATTCTTCCTCAGATCTGAAACCACGCTTTGATACTAGTTGTTGTTGTTGCGAGATCTAGATATACCAATTGATGTGATATATATATATATAAATCAAACAGGAGAACGATCGACGACGTGAAAAATAGAACGAGAAAAATCATACCAAAAAAGAACAACACAGCGGAACACACAGATTTACGTGGTTCGGCAAATTGTCTACATCCACGGAGTTGCATATGATTTTACTAATTGAGGAATTTACATCAGTCGATCACCTCGACTTACAAGAGGAATCTCTCACTCTCGCTCCGTTGCTCTCTCTCTGTTCTTCTTTCTCTACACCGAGATACACCGAAGAAATTCTACACCGAAATACACCGAAGAAGATAAACTTACAAGAAAAATAAACTCAATTTCTTTTCTGTCACAAGCCACTAAGAAGAAGCCTAGGGAGAACAATCTTCTTTTTTCTTTTTCCTTCTCTCTTCTGTCATAAGGAACTATTCCTCCTTGCACTTCTCTTTCTCTGCCTCGAGGAAACATTCCTCTATCCCAAGGAAACCGAAGAAGAACTCAAAGCGTGACTACAAAACCCAAGAAGAGCCATCCGAAGCTTTTAACACGAACAAGATGGAGCGAAGAGATGTTTCACTTCACAAAAAAAGAAAGGTGGGAGTGGTTATTTGTGAAGAGGTGTGACTCTCCAAAGCAAAATAACCGCTCAAGCATAGTAGACCGAGCTCCACCGTTTCTAACAGATCGGACATCAATAAGTGGATTAGTGGTTTTCTAATTGACTCCTAGCGCCTATGATCTTGAAAGGATTGAAAGGATCATAGGCACTAGAAAGAAAACTTTCTGATTGAAGAAATAAATGGATTAGTGTTCTTTTCTCTTGCTTTCGTTCCAGTGTATGAGTGAATTTCAATGCTTCACGCTTTAGATCTATCAGTACCTCAATACCTATGCTTTGTGAAGTTACCAGAAAGTAATCTTTAAATTAATATTTGGCCTTTTTTGTGCAAGCTTCGGTATTGGTTGCATGAACAATTGAGTCAATTCCGAAAATCGGTACCACATCTTGATTCTCTTCTGAAAATGAGACCTCATGTAGGTCTAGTGCTGAGCATTCTCATAGAAAGAAAGACGCTAGACAAGAACTGGAACAATAGGTTAAAGAAAAAATTCACAAAACAGTGTAATGGGATCATTTAAAAAATTTATTAAACTAAATTAACCAACAGACAAGACTGAATCGAAATAAGATATAGAACTAAAACAAACCAAACCAAAATATAATTCAATTTATTTTGTTTGATTTTAATTTAACCAAAATTTTGAAATTCTAATGAAGATGTGTGCATTCAATCAAATCGGATGATTGGTAAACAGGTTTGATAAACCAATTGGTTGATATATTTTATTTAACCATAATATAATTCAATTTTTTGGTTTAACGAATTTTTTTGTCCTTTCAAACCGAGCCAATAATCGAAATCCAAATAACCTTTAAATTGGAACAAAAAATAGAGCCATGATTTCAACAATTGAACCAAATCAAATAAATATGCTTGGTTCGGTTCGTTTATCAATTTAAACCAATTGATGTACATCTCTATTTGAAAGTTCAAAATTTGCGCTTCAGACTATATATATGTAAATACATTGAATTCAATAGTTTGTGATGCAAGTTTGGTTTCTACAAAATTTATTTTTTGTAAAAGTGATTGCATTTGAATGGAAAATTAATCTGCCCATTTTACCACAGAATAAATGATTATTGGTAAATAATTTTTCCAAAGATGAGCTAATCACAAAATAAATGTGATTAGATAATCACTAAACAATTAGTATAATTTTTTTTCAACCAATCACTAAATACAAATAGAAATTGATTGCATACCTAGAATAATTCCTTGAGCATTTCTGAAATAGGAACTGTTTAGCGCCCTAAACTTCTCCTGCCCGGCTGCAGATTATAGTTGAACGACTAAGTCCAGTAAGAATTAAGCTAATGGGAACCATAATAAAGAAAGGCCATGATATTAATCAATAAATGACTGCATGAAAAATATGGACTTCATACGGAGGCAGTACCTGTGTCCCATATTGTAAGCTTCAACTTCTTGCCACTAACAGTAAGATGTTTAATTTTAAAATCCACACCTGGTTATGAAATTAAGAAGTAATTGACAATCTGAAAAGAAGAATATAAGAGCTAAAATAAATGTCATCTCTTTCGAAGTATAAATATATCAGTCAAAGTATGAAAACCCTATTATTATCTTAAAGAACATATATAATCAAGATCTACAACAAAAAGGAAAGAGAATCATTTGAAATGAATAATTGGAATTAATATCATCATCATTAGCCAGAACAGTAGGCCACTTCATGCCAACTATCTGGGACAATGCATATGAAAATGGACTACTTTTGAGGCTGTTGAGAAAAAAATGAATTATTATGTGTTATTGGTCGAATATGTGACACCTATAAATAGACATATAAGGGAATATAATAAGAAAGCAAATGAGAACGAATGATACCCCAATTATAACGATATTAAATACTTATAATCACCGTATAGTATCAGGACCACTATTTATTTTGTCTATACCACTGAATATGTTAAACGAATATTTTCCTAACAAGATAACCAAAAACAATAGTTGTTCACAAATTTTACAAGATGAAGACAAGAATACAGCCATTTTAGAAACAAGTTTCTTCACCCCAAAGTGGCAACTTCATCCAAAAAGAGCCTCAATGTGATTAAGAGCATTCCCAATATCATGGACTTCATAGCTCTCCATCTCAAAAGCCATAAAACATGTAAAAATCTGAAACTCTTAAGCTGGTATGCTGAGCCAGTATATTTTCATTCAAAATATGAAACTCAAGTAAAAGGCCCCATGGATATAAAACAAAACTATGGACAACAAAAATTGGAGTCATCCATACAAACCGTAAAACAAAATTAAAAAAAGGATTGAGTAAGCATTCAAATATCACGGCTGTAAACCACATAAGTAGCAAATAAATTATGTTTTTTAGCATTCACAAGTGGTAAAGTACCTATAAAATAACAGGTAAACACCTTTATAGTGCAATTTTTATTGTAATCATGTACCCTACCTGAATTTCAGCTTAAGATACTTATTTATGTTTAGGCTGTAAGCAGTATGTAAAAAACAATAACATCAAATTGTATGCGAGTGGATTCAACCATAAAAGGAAACATTAGACAATAATCCCACCCAAGCTTATTTTACAACTTTCAACGCACTGTGCTCTCCAAAAAGCAGCACTTTTTTCTATTCATCTTTGGGAGTATCAAGTTAGAACAACATTATCAGAATTCTTGTGGTTCCAGAGACTTCATCTACAAAAGAACCTTTATAAAGGGTTTCTCGTGTAGCAAAGCTTTGATGTTGAATTAAGAACCTCAATATTTTACCAGAAATGTTGATACAGAAATATAATTTCAACATCAAAAACAATAAAACCATGGCGGGTACGTAAAAGCAAATTTGGAATTGTACCCAAGCATCCCACTTTGGACTCTAAACCTATCTATCAGTTGAAAGAGTACCTAGAATTCAATAATGTTGTGCCTGTCAAAAGGGGAGAACCAAGTTTGATTTACTCAAAAATCTCTTGGATTTCACTTTGCCAATTATGAAAAAGTAACAGAAAGTTCTTAATGTTTTAATTAGGTTCACAAAACATATAAATATATTAGAAGCTCCAAACAATAAAATCAACCACGAACAACTTGGCTAGTCTTATCCCAAATAAATGAGGCTTGCCAGAAAACTGTATATGCTAAAATTGTCATTGGAATTTCATTTATCGCACATTGATGCTTTTTGCATATACAATAATGGCTTTACACTGCAATAATTCGCCCAAATTCCAAAAATTTGTACTAAATTGCATTGTGAAATCTGTAACGAATCCAAAACAATCATTTTTTATCTATTTTAAAACTTTAACGTTTTCAAACCAAGCTTTATCCCTTTTTTACTTGTTGTGAATATAAATTCTTCTTCTTCCATCTCGAGTTTACCCAAAAGAAAAAAGAAAAGACAATAGAGTTTCCTTTAATTCTCCTGAGGTTCTTTCTTAAAAAACTTAGGAAAATATTTTGAAATCAAGATCTACAGTATTTGATAGAGCAACACTCTAATAACCAGGACCAAGCATGAAAACATACGCTAAAGAAAGAAAATTCATTACCAAACAGTAAGTCCAGTCAATCTCCCAAACTTTCTCCAGCATCTTGACATTCGAAAGATCATTTTTCTCAACACTCACACTTCAAGCACTGTTGACGAACAGGAACTATCCAAAGATAAAAAATTAGTCAACTCCGCTGTTCTTTCCAATGCATACTTTGAGCTAACTATCAAAACCTTGGTCTACGAAACCAACAAGCGCTTTAATGCCCAAATTAATTATAAAATATGCCCTAATAATCCGCCTTCTCTCCAATAATAATTTTGCCCTAAAACCCAAACCCTAGTAAATTACGAGTAATGCAAAAATTTACCGACTTACATCGCCCGCTCAAACCACCACAAACCGGCCAATAATTGAATAGATGAATACCAACAATTCAACCAACCAACATGTCTCACGACAAGCTAAAACTACCAATCAAACCAAACAAAATTCAACACAATAGCAAACTCAAAATCGGAATCACCAAACCCTGATAGAATCTTCTATTTCTCGATCCATAAGACTCAAAAAAGTCAGCACTATAAAGAGAAATAGCCAAGATAGCCATACCGATAGACGGGCTTAA